ATTAAAAACAGGTTCCCCTGCACGGCCTTGTCGTTATTGACGGGTAATAAATTCCTGCCTTGGTCTTGACCTTCAAACATGTCTACTTCTTTTCTTAATAATTCCTTGAAGAAAAGAGTGAAAAATTCTCGTGTGGGTCCACCTTGAAGAAAAATAATAAAATTTAAATAAGGGACACAACTCTATTTACACTATTATCAGTACATCGCCGGTTTGCAACAAATGTAATTTGACATAAGATAAACGATTTTATTATTATTCATATTCTAAACAATAAATTTAGAAAGGTACAGAAATTTGAAATTTTATAAAGAGAAGAAATATTTTTATACATGTTCTTAATTGCATGGACAGATTCGACCTGGTTCTAGCCACATCCATTTTAAATCTTTCACAAATGATGCAACACACACACGTAATAATCCATATCGATGAACGAGTTACATCACAAATTTGCTCAATTTTGCATTTAATTTGTCTGCTTACAAACTGGTTGGTTGTGTGATAGAACTGAAACTTTATCTTTTTTCCTTCTTGTTAAAATGACCAAGCAGCTATTTGTTATAGACTAGAAAAAGGATGGACTTTTTTGAGACCATCGAATTTCCGCCAAATTTCTACGCATAGCGACGGCACATCCAAACTATAAGTGCAGTAATAGTTCCAGAAAATGCCTGCTAATTCTGGTTAAAACATTGGTAGCCATATCTTTTTGAAGTATTGCATTGTATGTATTAAATATCCTATTGCTCTGTATTGTACTGATTTGTTTCATTTTTTTCTTTATTGCCCATTATATGACCTGAAATTGTACGTTAAAGGAACTCCACTGAGGTTTTTTGACATGATGGGACTGAAATTTTTTTTCCAAATAAATGTACGGTTTGATTTAGGTTTAGCCCATTAATCTTTGTGCAAAATTTCAGATCATTCGCGCGCTTCGTTTTTTCAGAATAATTATTCAAATTGTAAAAAATGACCCAAAATGAAAAGCGTTTACACGCTTTTCACTCAATCGGGCTAAGAAAAGCATAAAACTACGATTTTCAATTTATTTCAAAGTATATTTCTTAAATATCTTTGCATAATTTATATTTCTGTTTAAAGTGCCCCAGCTCATTTATGAATAAGAAATTCAAATGTTATGTTTGTAGGCTTTTAAACCGCAGTGGAGTCCCTTTAAGTTGTTTCACATAACAATGTGCCTATGTAAGTACAAGTTATGCAATAAAATCTGTTCTGTTTTGTTTAAATTTCCCGCAATTGTAGAGCTTAAGTAATAGAAAGTACATCTAAACACGAGGCTATCTGCCTCGAGTATAGATTAGATTGCCGAGTGTTTTGATATTTTTTCTCTCTTGTATCATAGTCAAAAATGAAAACAGGATCCTTCTTATCACAATATGAAACCCCAGAGAAAAGTACCCAACAATCGATGAGCTGAATATGACATTTCTATCGTTACATCTTTCCCTGTCGTCACAGTAACTAAACTCCAGAGAAATGAACCAATCAATGAACATGCTCTAGAGTGCGGGTAACTAATAACTGCACTCCAGTTACACTGTGCATGTATGTGTATACGATTTAACTCTGACACGTATTCAACAGGAAGGTCTCCAAACTATGATACAAATGATAATTTAATTCACCCGACAGTGCACAAACAAAGCTTTAAAGTATTTAAACACGATTAATTGCCTCACGATCCCCGCTGTCTCCCGGGGCCCATTGTGAATATTTACCTAAATCTGTATATTGTTCCTTGACACCTTCAGTTGTTATGACTATCTCGAGGGGACTGTACTCACATCCTGGCATTTTAAAATACGGCAGAGCAGATCCTATAATGTCTGAACGCTCCACGGTCAATACATTCTTTGGTTTTGTTTGCAGCTTTTTCAGATCATCAAGGAGAATCACTAAATCACTTTTCTCTGCAATTAATATACAGACGATTATCTAAAATAATTGAATTTGTTATCTATCGACATACCCATGCTACCCTGTTTTACAAGAGTACATGTTTTTTTTTCCAGTCACATATCAGCAATAAAATTATTGTTTAGTTTCCAAAATAGATAAATGATAGTCGGAAAATAAATACAATATTATCAGGTAAATATCATTTATAAAAATTACCATGTATCGTTTAAAATTTTAAAAGAAAAGCTCTATTCCATTTCAATGATAATATATAACAGCTAGTTTTAATAGGGATTATTTAGCCATATAACTGGCTTTACAGGCGCAGTGCAAACTTCGAAACTCTTGACATTTATTTCTCTGAATTTGAGTTTTTGTTTGAACAATCCCGAGTTGTGTACCAATTTATATGCTTTCAGTTGTCTTATAATCATTACTGACTAAACAATGTTATAAGTAATGCAAATAATATCGGTGGTACATCATCTTGTATTATATCTGGAACTTTAACCCATATTCGGCTGAATTTCTTAAATGAACTCGTCCGGCTTCTATTTTTTCAATCTGTCTATTATTATTTAGGGAAGATATCTCGATGAGAAATATGACAGTAGTCAACCAACAGAGCTGAGCCTGTTCAGACAGCACGTATGTCCGGGAGTGGGTCAATATGTAAATGTAAAGTGTATTTTCTAATTTGGCTTATGATTTTTATGCTATGCTTCAGAAATTGATATTGTAGTAATATCCGTGTAAGATTTTAAAATCAATAAGGTTCCTCACTTTTCATTGGCCAGATTTGATATTGTTGTACACTTTGTGAACGATTTTGAAGGTGCCTAATTATATTCAAGTTAACTTTCATTTATTGTAGTTAAAAATGACTTTTATTATGTTATAAATTATATTTCTTTAGTTCTCTTTAATTTATAATAGTATTGTTTAAATGCTTCACTATCAATTTTACCAGTGATATAACGGTTGATACAAAAATAAACGCAATTGCATTAATAAATTTTAAAGAATAAGTGTTTAGGTGTATCATAAGAAATATAAAGGACACTATTTTATGGTGGGTATTGTTGGGCAAACACAACACTTCGACTTCCTGAATGAAGGTAGAGTTTTCCACTTACAAACTGAAATCGTTGAATCTCATTGGCTATATAGCATTTTACAATAGTTACCAATGCTTTTAAATTTTCATTAATTCTATTTTGAACAACTTATTTTACATTATTAACCTAGACATGAATGACATTTTATAAGTTCCGTCTAAAATAACGAGACGACCAATAACGCTCACGATTCCAGACTCTCACGTGCATGAAAATAAGGAAAGGCACAACATTAAAAAAACCTCCGAACTCATTTAGGTCTCTCAGTAAATAATGTTCAGTGTTCATAATATCATGCGTGTGTGATTTCTGATATGTTTAAAGTGACATTATGTCCATCCAAGAGTATATAGTTAGTGAACTGGGAAAAGTCAAAATAAGTTTACATTTTGCCATAATTCCTTTCAATTTCAAAATTCATTTCGCACGAACGATAAATATTTAGCATGGTCCAAGGAAATTTCTAAAAATATCCATCGGAAATTACCTGTAACGTTCAATTTTCAAAAAAAGAGTGGAGCAGTCTTTTTATATTTTAAACAGATTTATATTTTATTCCAAACATTTTCCACAATCAACTGTTGGTCAATCACACCATAACAGTCAATGTTTTTATATACATGTATATACTCAATTTAGTTAATCTTCATGATGAAAATAGTAAATAATGTCACTTTAATTGATTTGAATCTCATGGTTTTTGCATATAAAAAAGGACATATAAGTTTATGTACAAGAAAACCTTAGTGAAAGATACAATAACCGGATCGTAACAGTTTCTTTTAGAAACATATCTTACAGTTGTTCCTAGATCTAACCATCAGATACTATATCAACTGTTGTATATATAAGAATTTTTACAAAATAATAAAAAAAAAAGAAGAGTAATTGGGTCTATCGAATTTAAAGTGTCTCGGTATTTGCATTAATTGATATCCCTGATCCAAGGTTTAAGTTATTAAGTAATTATCGACAAATCGTTATTGATATGCCTCCCGTTCAATTTTGATATTTATTAACTGAAGCGAAAAATATTGAGAACGAATCAAATTATTATGTTTTGTTCGTGGTGGTGTCTGCATTAGAATGGGAATTCTAATTACTGTCATTATTAAACAAGCGCTGACCTTAAATCTCTTCATGTATTCCATACTTCGAAATAACCTTTTCAAGTAAAGGCAGGTTTACTTCGGCCGAGAATCTTATTAAAGAACGCCGGAACAAGAGAACATAAGACAAATATCAGTCGTATTTTTGCTCTTTTCACCCCGTCACGTTAAATTTCATCTACTGTTTATGATTAAATATAAGAGAAAATGCACGTGCTAAATTTGTGGTCAATCAACGATCTCTACTTATGACATTAACTCATATATTGCCTGAAGTAAATGTGATTGTTTAGCCATTGCAACCATTGTCAAGCCTGAACATCCTTGCAATCCGTACATATACTGATGACTATCGTGCTGTTTTTTTTTTTTTTTGCCACGTCATACTTTCGCTGCATGGAGCGCCAGGCGAAACACGAAAATACGACAGTTATTACCACAAAGTTACGGAATGCCGTTAGGGCCATCTCCTATGAATATGTTGATCTGAAACGCGATAGTCGATAGTACGGTGGTGAAAACGCGAAATAACGAAACTACGATGATGAAAACGCGAAAGTACGATGATGAAAACGCGATAGCATAATGATGAAAACGCGACAGTACGATACTACGATGATGAAAACGCGATAAACTATCGTGTTTTCACCATCGTACTGTCGCGTTTTCACCATCGTAGTTTCGTGATTTCGCGTTTTCATCATCGTTCTGTCGAGTATCGCGTTTCAGATCAAACCATTAATAGGCGATGGCCCTTACGGCATTCCGAAACGCGATAGTCGATAGTACGATGGTGAAAACACGAAATCACGAAACTACGATGGTGAAAACACGATAGTACGATGATGAAAACGCGAAAGTACGATGATGAAAACGCGATAGTACGATGATGAAAACACAACAGTACGATGGTGAAAACGCGATAGTACGATGATGAAAACGCGATAGTACGATGGGGAAACGCGATAGTACGATGATGAAAACATGACAGTACGATGATGAAAACTCGAAATCACGAAATTACGATGGTGAAAACGCGACAGTACGATGGTGAAAACACGATAGTTTATCGCGTTTTCATCATCGTAGTATCGTACTGTCGCGTTTTCATCATCGTACTATCGCGTTTTCATCATCGTACTTTCGCATTTTCACCATCGTAGTTTCGTGATTTCGCGTTTTCACCATCGTACTATCGACTGTCGCGTTTCAGATCAACACATTCATAGGCAATGGCCCTAACGGCATTCCGTACAGAGTCGTATTATCGTGTTTTCGCCTTGCGCCCGGCGTAGCCAATGGACGACGAAGTGGCGAAGTTGCCGTATTTTCGTGTTGTAAATTTTGGTCCCACGGAGTTAAAGTGATATCTCCACACCCCCCCCCCCAAAAAAAAAAATAGATAAAAAAAATGACAGTTAAAAAATGGTATCTAAGGGGTAAGCGACAGTAGTTTGATACAAAATGTTCAGTAAATATAAGCATTTGAAGCAAAAATAAGAAAAAGGAAAAGAAACATACCGTGACGTTCCTTTTGCTTCTTGTGAGTCTCTTCTTTACCACCAGAGTTCCCCATTTTTGTTTACGTTTAACAATAGTAAAAATGTTAAAATAATAAATAAAATCTTTCACCGTTGTTTACAATAAGTAATTCACAACAATATTTTTTTTTATGTTCAAAATGACATCCAATTGTTCTTTTTACACTTAAAAAATACACAAAACATTATAAGACCGTTATCGTGATTTAAAATCTACAAAGCTATTATTCAATTTACAACGCAATTTGATATACATTTCGACTATATCTTAATCGATTTTTGGGTTCAAAGAGGAAGTTAGAATAAACTGGTAAAACAACGTTGTTAAAATTTATTACGTTCAATATCGATCTCCGAACGTTCGAACATTAACATTCGTTCTTAATATACATGTTTATTTATTGTCACACAGACATTTCGAAAGAGTTGAAGAATGAACGCTAAAGCGGGAAGTTCTGGAGGAACACCCAAATTTGGATTTTTCGCGGTGAGTTTATTACAGCTATTTAGTAGAAATTCTATTTTTTAAACAGTGGAATTGCTCGAGTAAGAATAAATTGATATAAACATACGAGAGGGAAAAGCGCAATATCTATCAATCGTACCAAAAGCAACGACACATGTATTCTGTTTTTACTGATAAGATAAAATAAAAAATAAAAAGTTTACACGCAAACCACATTATTGATAGACTGATTGATCTATCGATCGATTGATTAACTGACTGGTTTATTAATTGATTGATTAATGAATTGAGTAATCAGATTTTACGATCATGCTTAGCATTCTTCCCTACAGTAAATTAAACATGTCATAATATTACCCTTCAAAACCTGTTGTTGTCTACAAATCGGAGGTTTAGAGGTCATTGTGTATTCGGTATTCTATTTGTCTACCTCTGAGCACTGCCAACCCCTCTCACGAGTGTTATAGGCATGAATAATGCACGTCGGATCTATTAGTAAATGGTGTAAGAGGAAGTAAAACCCTGAAAATGAACATTATCAGGGAAATAAGAGACATATAATGCTTATAATAAATTATTGCTTTATTTTTTAAAGTTTTTTTTTAACTACAAGATTGAGAAGTCAACAACGGTGGTATAGAGGTGACATGTGTGTATTTTTGTTTATCTCGTGCGCAGGAGATACTAGGTCTTAGTAATGGTCACGACATAATATTTCGTGTGCACCACTTAATTACTAGTATCTCGTGCGCACGACTTAGTAACTCGTGATCACGTTATAGTATCTCGTGCGCACCTTTTAACTATCTTGTGCGTACCACTTAGTAACTCGTGGTCACCACTTAGTAACTCTTGTCAACGACATGATATCTTGTGCGCAACACTTAATTATCTAGTTTGCACGACTAAGTAACTCGTGGCCGTGACATAGTATCTCGTGGCCACGACTAAATTAACTTGAATGCATAACTAAGTAACTCGTGGCCACGACATGGTATCTCGTGCACACCACTTAATGATCTCGCGCGCAGAACTTAGTAACTCGTGCGCACCACTTAACTATCTCATTCGCACGACTAAGAAACTCGTGGCAACGATTTAGTATCTCGTGCGCATGACTTAATAATCTCGCGCGCACAACTTACTAACAAGTGCCAACGGCATAGTATCTCGTGCGCATCACTTAATCATCTCGTTCCCACGACTAAGAAACGCGTGATTACGACATAATATCTTGTGCACACGACTGAACAATCTTGTGCGCACAACTTAGTAATTTGTTGCCACGACATAGTTTTTCGTGCACACAATTCAATTATTTGGTGCGCACGACATAGTAACTTGTGGCCACGACGTAGTATCTCGTGCGCACCTCGATATTATAACGTGCGCACGACTGAGTAACTCGTCGCTTTGGCATAATATCTCATGCCTATCACTAAATTATCTCGTGCGCACGGCATAGTAACTCTTGACCACGTTATACTATCTTGTGCGCACCACTTAACTTACTTAGTAACTTTTGGTCACAACTTAGTAACCACGTATTTATCTCGTTCGCACAACAAAGAAACTCGTTGACACGACAGAGTAACTTGTGCGCACGACTAAAAAAAACTTGCGCGCACGACTATTAATTTATTGCCACGACATAATATTTCGTGCACACAACTTAATTATCTGGTGCGCACGACATAGTAACTTGTGGCCATGATATAGTATCTCGTGTGCACCACTTTATTATTTTGTGCGCACGACTTATTAACTCGTGATCACGTCACAGTATCTTATGCGCACCACTTAACAATTTTGTGCTTACCACTTAGTAACTCGTGGTCACCACTAAGAAACTCGTGGCAACGACATAGTATCTTGTGCGCACCACTTAATCATCTCGTGCAGACAACTTAGTATCTCGAGGCCACGACATAGTAACTAGTGCCCAAGACTTAATTATCTCGTTCGCACGACTAAATAACTCGTGGCGGCGACATAGTATCTCGTGTCCATGCCTTAATTATCTCGTGCGCACACACGACTTAGTAACTCGTGACAATGACATAGAATCTCAAGCGCAGCATCCCTAAATTATCTCGTTCGCACAACAAAGAAGCTCGTTGCCACGATAGAGTATCTCGTGCGCACGACTAAATAATCTTGAGCGCATGACTTAGTAACTCTTGGCCACGACATAGTATCTCGTGCGCACCACTTAATTATCTCGCGTGCAAAACTTTGTTACTCGTGCACACCTTTTAATTATCTCTTTTGCACGACTAAGAAACTCGTGGTCCCGATTTAGTATCTCATGTGCACCACTTAATTATTTCGTTCGCACGACTAAGAAACTCGTGGCCACAACATAGTATCTCGTGTGCACCACTTAATTATCTCATTCACACGACTAAGAAACTCGTGGCCACAATATAGTATCTCCTGCACACGATTTAATCATCTTGCGAGCATGACTTAGTTACTCGTGGCCACGACATAGTATCTCGTAAGCACCACTTAATTATTTCGCGCGCAATACTTAGTAACACGTGGCCATGACATAGTATCTCGTGCGCACCACTTAATTATCTCGTTCGCATGACTAAAAAACTCGTGACAACGACACATTATCTCTTGCGCACGACTAAATAATCTTGCGTGCACGAATTTTTTGCCACAACATAGTATTTCGTGCACAAAACTTAATTATCTGGTGCGCACGACTTAGTTATTTGTGGCCACAACATATTATCTCGTGTACAGCTCAGAATTATATCATGCGCACGACTTAGTGACTCGTGACCACGTCATAATATCTCGTGCGCACCAATTAATTAATTCGTGCGCACGACTGAGTAACTAGTGGACAGGACAGTTTTTCGTGCGCACGAGATAAATAAACACACACATATCACCTCTATGCACCGTCTTCGACCAAATCACGTCTAGCGAGACTATTCAGACCTAAATGGTGTTTATTGATCACATTAAGAAACGGACATTTTTCCATATCTTTCAGTCAGCGCTAAAAAGTGTCACAGACGTTGTAACTATTCCAATATGTCCAGGTAAGTCTATGGAACGCTGTTACTGTCTTATTAGTTTAACCAGGTTTTGTTGTTGTTGTTGTGTTTTTCTAAACGATTCCATTCAATGAACTCGTATACTTGTTTTACATCATTTTGAAGATTGATAGAAATACATTTCAAATACACGTATTTTCTGTATAGCAATTCAATTAATAATAACTAATAAGGTTTATGTCAAAAGCAACAGAAATCTGATTATAAAATCAATTTCTTAAAGACCCTATGACACATTTATTCCATGGTTTTATTTCATAAATATGATGCTCAAATTAAGATTCGTCAATATTGTAAGTTCAAATAAGCATTATTTATAAAGATATTATCCAATGTAACATTTTATGTAAATAAAGGGAGGTAATTAGAAACTTATTTTCTATAAAGTCAATTTATTCAACAAGTAATGATTGCATATATTTTAATGATTACATATAATGTGCGCATATATTTGCAGCAACTTAACATATTCTTCGATGTTTGGAAATTGTTTATGGGCCTTATATTCAATCATTTATTTGTTTTCTTTTAGTTCCTTATCAGTTACTAATTATTTATTCTTTGGTAGTGGTTTGCCTGCCCGTGCTCTGCCTTGTGCCCTTTCCTGTTTTTGTTTGGGGTCCTCCTGGGCTCCTTGCCACTGGCTCTTGTTACTGGGTCGGGTGGGGGCTGCGTTCATTGAACGCCGCCTTTCCTTGATGATCTTGTTTATTATATTTTATAAAAGCATAATTATATACATATATAAAATTTCACGTAAGTGTAGTAACAACCTCAATTAAAACATACAGGATCTTTAACATCAATATGAGCTACGATGAAAACGTGCCGTTGTGATGATAATATTGTCATTTTTATACTTCTATTTTTCGCATTCTCATCGTCGCAACTTTTATATATTTTCATCATCGTAGTTTCACGTTAATGTCACCGTACTTTTGTATTTATCTCAAATT